AAGAAGAATATATTTATGTGGAATATGGCTTCATCTCAGTGTGACAGCTGCTAGACTTTAGTAAATATGCAAGCAATTTATCTGAGTCCTGCGGCTATTCCTTTGTATTTACAATGGCTTAAAAAACATCATGTATCAATCAAGCTACATTTTATATAGACTCTAATTATCCATACAGAAAGCTAAATATAAAACATAAAAGGTATTTAAAACATTATACCAAATTATATTTAACTACAACAAGCTTTATCTGTGGATCAGCATTAAGACACCTCTGTTATTATTATCCTCGGCTATACAGTGGCGTCTGCTTAAAGGCTGACATGAGGTCACTCTTTCCAGCTACTGATTGCAAATATCACAGAACCTCTAGTAATACTTAAACCCCCTTTAAAATACAATGCCGGCCAATCCAGATTAACCTCTTGCAGACCATTGTATGATATTTTATTGCAGCAGGACTGTAATGTCGTCTTTTAAGTAAATCACTTTAATCCCATAACGTTTATCTGGTGCCTTGGAGGGAAAGAGCCCTTAGCTTGTTCCAGCCTGGATCATATTCAATACAATGAATAGAAAAATCAAAGCAAGCTGGGTTTACATTGGGAATGGGGGAATCTGCCTGAAAGCTAAACGAAAGAGTCTACTAGAGCAGCGTTTCTCAACTTTTTCAGTCACGGCACCCTTAAAATCTTGAGGCATCCCAGTCTAAAATGTAAAAAGGGGACCAACACAAAAACACATGAAAAACTGGGATTCCATCGTTTGCATCAAAGTCCTTCCTTCAAATCAAGAGCCCCCTTTCACATCAGAATTTTCCCTTTCACGTCAGATTCCCCCTTTACATCAGTAGCCCCCCTGCTCCTTAGAAGCCCCCTCTTTTTACATCTGAAGTTCCTCTTTGCATCAGAAGCTTCCTTTCACATTAGAAGTCCTCTTTACATTTTAAGGCACCACTGAGGAAGCCAGAAGGCACCCCCGTGTGCCACAGCACCCTGGTTGAGAAAGGCTGTACTACTGTATACCGAGCTTTAGTAATACAGTGTGGTTCAAGAACAATGCCAGCCTATGATTGGATGATTAAGGTGCTATCCCATCCTGTAAGCATGTTACGGGGGTCCCCGAATTGAATCCTGGCCAGGACACTACCGGCATGGAGTTTGCATGTTCTCCCTGTGCTTTGGGTAGGTTTCCTCCGTGTACTCCAGTTTCCTTCCACACTTTAAAGACATGATAATTGGCTCCATTCTAAATTGGCCCTTGTATATATATGAGGTAAGGGCCTTATATTGCAAGCTCCCTGAAGGCAGGGACTAATGTGAATGTGCAGTATGTAAAATGCTGCATAAACTGACTGTAGGGATGAGCTCAGGTTCAGACTGAGCCTGAGCTTCTCTTAACCCAGAAGGAGATCCAACTAAACATGGATGACAGTTTATTCTATGCCGCCCAATCAGCTGCTGATGGGGAATTACCTGCCCCCAGCATGACATAAAAAAAACGGGTGGGATGCAGTGACATCATTTACCTTATATGGCTACATACCTGTATTTGGTAAATAAGTCGAAAATGAGGATCACCAGCACTCAGGACATGACGTTCAAAACTTTGTGTTCATGTATTCAAATACACCGTCACATGTATCACATAGCCACATAAATACATGTGATGCATGTGACGATGTATTTATTCAAATACACCGTCACATGTATCACATAGCCAAAGGCTATGTGATACATGTGACAATGTATTTGAATAAATGAACACTAAAGTTTTGAACGTCATCTCCTGAGTGCTGGTGATCCTCATTTTTTACTAATTGATATACACCGTGCCAGCCGTGATTATCACTACAAGCACCATCATTGTTATTGGTCCTAGATGCTTCAGGGGACAGGGGGACAGATCGATAGACCACTATATTTGGTAAATGACATTCACCTAATATGGCTATGTGGCATAGTAGGTAAATTATGTCAGCACAAGCATCCCACACCTTTGTTTACATGCAGCTGCAGGGTGGGGAATGCCAGACCCACAGCCGATTGGATGGAAGTGCCCATGATACGTCCATGTTCGGAGGTGACAGCACACATGCCTGTAATAAGTAAGTATTAAAGACCTGATTGGCACAGTTTCAGGGAATAATGTTTGCTGTATGTAAAAATGTAATTATTTTTTCATGAATTGTTTTTAGCTTTGAGCTAAGAATAACTTTAAGCAAACATTTAAATGCACATTTAAAATGCATAGCTGTATTTTGCGCAATATTCCCACATTTTTCTACTTGAATCTAATGTGAAAATGTATGAATCTTGAGTGAAAGTTATGTATATTTTGTATAAAAACTGATAAATATGTATTTTGTCATTCTGTGCAACCACTCAGGAGCCAGGAAAATCACTCTTTTGCTTCCTGGTTCAGCCTTACAGCCCCTTGAGTCATCTCCCTGTTCACTTTGGTGGATGAAGCTGATTCATGGTCCAGTATGCAGGATGAAGATAGAAGGTGACACTGGAGGCTGCAATGCTGAGCCAGAAAAAAAAAGACTGTTACTTCCTGCAGTGTGGCTGGGTTGTGTAAATCACACAGCCGGCCAAACAAAATTATAAATCCTTATTACCCATATACCTTATATAATTAATTCAGCTGTTAGTATTGTATTAGCTCCACTTTAAAATGATTATTGCTCTGGAATAGAGCAGATATATTCTATGGTTGATGGTCTGAAGCTGAAAATACAAGGTCTATTGTGATACAGCAATCTTTTAATGTAATGAATTGTCATTGCTAGCTGCCCTCCAGCTGTATTATGGCATGCATTCCGCTACTATTTAAAGCCTTTCACTGTTTTACTAATCCTCATTCTAATGCTTCATGACTCCCATTGTGTATTATGCTCTTTCTGTGCTCATAAAAAAAGAAATGACAACCTGTGTGGATTAAAACTGAAATGATGTCCAACTGCGAGGATTAGGCCAGGACACAGAGAGAAGCAACAGGATCATGTCACTTTGAACTCTGCCATGATAGCACTTACTGGAAGCCATCAGGGTGCAAAGCACAGCAGACACCCAGTGCAACATGTGGGGTAACTTTGCTTGGGATGATGAGTATGTTCTGCGCTGCTTCTGTGAAGGAGATTTACAGGGTATCACCCTACTGTTCAGGGAGTGCCTGGAGATTGTGAATCACACCTTGGTGGTTGGAGGAGAGGAGATGAGATGGAACTGCAGGAACCATGGTCTGTAATTCATCTTTTACTCTATACTATATGTGGCATTTAAAGAATGATGAACTACAGAGGATACCATTGCTGACCTCCCTTTCTGAACATATTAGCTGCCTGGTTGTAATGCTATGTAATGTGGTTTTGTTTCAATTCTTTCACTAACCTGTAACAGGTATAGAAATATTAAATTCTGACTTTACTCCTTCCCATTTTAAATTTGTGGCATGCTTTAAAAGGGTGCAGAAGGGTTAAAACCAGACACAGTCCGAACTTGTCAGAAGGAATCCAGCAATGTCATCCCCCATTTTGTCCCATGATGGTTGTACTCTTATGTTTTAAATGCTTTCTTTTTGTCAAAATACCACTACAGGTAGTCTTGCTGGTACTACAGGTAGGCTTGCTGGTAAAACTGACTAGGTCTTCTCTTGTATTTGTGCATTACCTGGGTGGCACAGGTGATATTTCAGCTATTGATGGAGCCTGGTTGGCTGACTCATCAACTAACCTATTGTATGCTTTGGAGCCTCTAGCTCAGATACCTCGTGCCATCAGTTTATGATCTGTACTTGTCTATCTTAAATGTCCAATCCTACCCTGGGGTCTTTCTATTCCTCCACTTGAATTTTCTGTAACATAATGCATATTATAGATCCAATGGAGAGAGGGGCCATATAACTAAAGTCTGTTAATCCCAATGCCCCCACCCCATACGAATGGGTGTAATGGAGATTTTAATTAAAATGTAATGATTTGGAGAAAGGGAAGTTAAAATGAAATATCTTTCAGGATTATCAGACTCCAGCAGTATACCAACACTCCAAGGAAGGGCACAGGGCTATGATTACTGGACAGACTATGCACACTATTAAAGTTTGAGGGCCCATTCATGCTGTTATGGTGTCTCTCTTCCCTTTATTGCGGAGAGCAGAAACTTGCCCAAATGGCCAACCCTCTAATGTAAACACAAAGCGGGTATTTCTAAGCTGTTAGAAACCCACTTAAAGATACATTCTCCCATAATAATAAAATAAAAAATGTGCATTTATTACATTTTTGCATTGAAGCCTTTGGAACATTGCGACTGTGATCAGCCCTTGGTGGGTGCTATGCAGGGGCTCCTGCATTGTTTATCCCTGGCCTCAGGTCCATACTAAGATATGGGCCTTTTGTTATGGGGCTGGAGGAAGTAATCCATGGACTACAAGTGCAGAGACATCACCACACCTGTGCCCCATTGAGACATGTGAGTCCCTCTGCTATGGTGCCAGATGGAACTTGTAGTCACTCCAATTATAGATCCCTGTGACTGGATCTGTGCATGGAGGATGCAGCTGTAGCTGTGCAGGTACTAATTTTTTTTAAAAGACGGTCCCCTCCCTGAGATTCAGGTAACTTGAACATGATGACTTTCTGCCTGGTAGAGCTGTGAAATAATGCTTGATATCTGAGTCTGGAATCTCAACATTTTGAGACTGGATGCCAAGCAGCACCTGACCCCATGATTCCTGGACTACATCATGTTGTTGTTATGCATCTTTCCACACTACACAGCACTTGTATGTGGCATATTACTACGTATATTTATATTGTGGCTGCAAAAGAATGTGACTCTGGGCATAATGCCGATAATATAATCACAAGCAGCTTTGTGTACTCTGCATGTGACCCAGACTACTTTGTCACAGTTATCAGGTCCACGTCTCCCACACATACAAAGCCTTATAAATACCAAACAGGTGGGTTGTGTGTTTAGTAGACGGTTCTGAGGATGGAGAGTGTACGGAGCAGGGTCCTGCACAAGCTGCAGGTCATAACTGAGATGGGTTATCAGCAGCATCTGGGCCCTGAGAACATTTTGCTTGCTGCGTTGGAGACAGGAAACCTCAACCTTGTCCAGCTGCTGGGAGCCAGACATGCAAACTGTGTGCTGAGCATCAGAGGAGAGGAGATGGGGTACCAATCACATACCCCTGCAAGGTTCGGCCTCGCAGGTATGATGCTGTATGTCTAAGGGTTAGTATCCACAGCGGTTTTTGGCTTTATAAGGCCAACTGCAGATCACAAATCTAACTGAAAAGGATATTTACTAGACCAGCGATTATTAAAACGACTCAACAGAATCAATTAACATTTGTCTTGTAATGAAAATGCATCTAATATACAAAACCCAGTATATGACACCATCGCATACTATGTGTCTGTAACCACCCCCTCCTCTACACTACACAGAATGACTGTACACCTAATATGGATCAGATCTAAGAGAAGTTCAAAGGCAGAATCTTTCCTGGTTCTGGCATTCTTGGTTAACACCATTCTGGAATGCTTTCATACAGGAGCTGATTCAAAGCTGTTTCTATGTACTAGAAGCTAGAGCCATTGGGGAATTTCATAACTAAAGCGCATCTTTTACAACAAGATTTGTACTTTTGCTAATATTGAAAATGGGTCTTACTAGTACTAGAGTGTATGTAAAAGAAAAACATATTCTTAGCTTTGGAGCAGCCTAATTATTATTGTGGTCTGTGTCACCGATGAGAAGAATCCTCTTCTATTTGTCCTGGTAACCATTGTCACAGAGAAAATATGGGGAAATCATACATTTTAACTTTAATTTTAACTTTTTTATTGTCATGAGAGCAAATCTTACAATGGGGACAAATTTTCCTGTGACAATTGGTTAACATGGGAATTCCCCTTTCTTTGGGAAGATTTCCACTCTCTACCTGTTCTGCATCTTCAAAAATAGAAAGTGAATGTGCCCCAGCGAGCGGCCACCTAATTAGGAAGCTGCCTCTGCTGCTGCTGTACAATGTTCAGAGGGAGCCCGGCAGAGGATGTGGATCACCTGCTGCCTTTCCTCCCCCCAACAGCCGCTGAGTACAGATACTGCCAGGCAATGTGTGAGTACAGATACTATCTCTTTCTCTCTCCTGGCTGTATTTCCTCTCTCTCTCTCCTGGCTGTCTCTCATCTCTCTCCTGGCTGTCTTTCCTTGCTCTCTTCCCTGGCTGTCTCTCCTCACTTTCTCTCCTGGCTGTCTCTCCTCTCTCTTCTGGTTGTCTTTCCTCACTCTCTCTCCTGGCTGTCTCTCCTCTCTTTCTCTCCTGGCTGTCCCTCCTCACTATCCCCCCTGGCTGTCTCTCCTCGCTCTCTTCCCTGGCTGTCCCTCCTCACTATCCCCCCTGGCTGTCTCTCCTCGCTCTCTTCCCTGGCTGTCTCTCCTTGCTCTCTCTCCTGGATGTCTCTCCTTGCTCTCTCTCCTGGATGCCTCTCCTCTCTTTCTCTCCTGGCTGTCCCTCCTCACTATCTCCCCTGGCTGTCTCTCCTCGCTCTCTTCCCTGGATGTCTCTCCTTGCTCTCGCTCCTGGATGTCTCTCCTCACTCTCTCTCCTGGCTGTCTCTCCTCTCTCACATTGCATAGTACACTATGCAGTGGCAGAACTACCAGGGTTGCAGTAGCTGCAGCTGCCCACCAAAATCCTCAGCACCAGAGCCATGATGCTCTTATTCCGGCCCTGGTTAGATAGATAGATAGATAGATAGATAGATAGATAGATAGATAGATAGATAGATAGATAGATTTATAGATACAAGTGTCAATAAACTCATGTGTATTCAGTGGTGCTACTATGTATACCATGGTTCTTACAATGAAAGTACTCTTAGCATGTGTATCCCTATTGAAGCTGTGTGGGGAATACTTTTTTGCAATACCCATACAAAGTATGTATAAAGGACCCCCCGGCAGAAGAATTCCTGCCAGTAGAGGTGACATCTTTACCGATATCTCTGCTATTCTGTTACACCTTGTCCTAGACAGGTAATAAGAACGATAACAGACAACTCTAAAATGCACCAACCTGACAAAATCCAGTGCATAGTGTAAGATGATGATATTGTAGCAATGGAAAGGAATTAGGACCAGGACATGATCAAGGCAAGCAAAGGAAACAACAGATAATTTTGCACAAATAGAAAAACATGAAGGATGAATGTTTTGAGATCATTTATATGAATGAGTAAACTCATTTGGCTACCAGAGCTCTACAATACACAATGACAATATGTCTCAGGAAATAATATTCAAAATACAGACTGGGAAGATGTTACTGTTCATGAAAGACAGATATGAGATCAAGACTTTTGTAGCAAAATCTAAAATTCTAATTTACAGAATTATTCTTAACTGGATTAATACATACAGTATGTAGCTGTATGTTAACAAAGTCACAGATGAAAATGAGGACAAAGAGGACTCATAGAACAGCTATGAGCATCCTACTCTATAGTAAAACGTATAGGTAGCTAGAATCTCAGATGCCTTCACCATGTGATTTGGATGGTAAAAAGAATCCCAAAGAAGATTTTGTGGACCATCTAAAGGAATATTGAACAGAGGACGACCAAAGAAGAAATGGACTACTGATCTGGAGGAGAAGGAGTTGGAAGCCAGAAGATGGAGATGAAAGCAATGGACAGAACTGAAAAGGCTAGAAATGTAATGAGGGCCAGGGCCCATCAATAGCTGCACTGCCATAGGTGGAGTTAGAGAGGCATGGATTGTGTGCATCTAATTGGATGTTACCAATACACTTTAGCAATATTTCAAACAAATTCCCCTGACATCCAATAACCAAAATTCATGATTTTTTTTCTCAGTGCTCAGTTTCCAGCTTCCTCGCTTATTTTGTTTTAAAAAAGGACATTTATCCTTCAGAAAATAATAATAACCATCCAATGTTAATATGATGAAAATCAAGGTTATTTAAAGATGGAAAGGCATCAGATTATACCAACCTATCAGCAGCAATTGTGATCCATTTCTTTCTACTCTAAGCTGGTAAATATTAAATCTGATTGATTGTTACTCTAATTGTAAATCACGAATCCTCTTTTTCCTGAATTTGCGTAAATGTGATGTACTCTATAATTTTCTTATGTCATTCTATTTTTTTCCATTGTTTTATTGTTTAATAGGGTTGTGGACTCTGGAGTATACCCAAGAACTAACATCCCCCTTGGGTATCACTTGCTCCCGTGGTTATGCCGACTGCGTACGTTACCTTTTGCACAGGCGTGCAGATCCAAATGCTGCCCCTGGAGGGCGTTCTCCCCTTCATGAAGCTTGTGCTGGAGGGCACGATGATTGTGTCCAACTACTATTGGAACATGGAGCCAACCCCAACAAGCGCAGTGATCATGGGCTGACTCCTCTACACCTATGTGAGATGAATAGCTCTTTAAGGTAGGATGAGGTGCAGATTGCATTGCTATGATTTCCCTTGTGCAGTGGTATTATTTACACAGACACAGCAGTGATAAAAATGAGTTACGTGGGCCAGAATAAACCAAAGCATTTTTTCTCTCTGGTCCGAACGTTTGTGTAAAGACTTTTCACAAAACAGGATTTGTCACTGCAGAGCAACCTTAGATGGTTGTAAATGGTGAAATATTGCCTACTGTGTTTATAAGCTGCACTTAGTACACTTTTATTTACAAGATAGTTGACTTCAAATAAAAAAATTATAAAACGGCCTATATTTCCAGGAGAAATGTGTACAAAATTAACAAAAGTAGAAGCTTCTAATGTTCCTTTTGTTTGCTTTAATATTGTTTGACGTTATACCTCATTCATTGATGTTCATGGATGCATTTTGGGCCTTAAAGTATTGCTGGAGCCAAACAGCCAGTGTACCTTGAAAAATTCCTTCTGACGTCTGCTTGAGTAATTTCTATTGACACCTGTGTATACACAATCTCTCTCCACCCTAAATATTAGACATGTGCACCAGCAAAAAATGTGTTTAGTTTCGTTTTGTTTTGATTCGGATTTTGCTTTATTTAGTTTTTCGGAATTTGGGTCCGAAAGTCAATTCGTTTCGGAATTCGTATTCAGACGAAATTCGTTAGCGGAAATCCGTACAAAATTTTGTTTCGTTTCCTTTTCGTTCGTTCGTTGCAGCAAAGTGACATTTAAGAGGGGAAAAAAGTTTTTTTTGTTCTCAAATGTCACTTTGCTGCAACAAAATTTCGTCCAAAAAACAAAAGTTCATCCAAAAAAACAAATTGGAAATTCGGATTCATTTTCATTCGTTATACCTGTAATTCGGATACATCCGAATCTCCGAATTTCCGAAATTTTGTTAGAATTTCGATTCGGAACGAAACGAATCGCACATGTCTACTAAATATTGACTGGTTGCTCCTTCTGCCCTATGTACCCTCCCAAAATGCATCCTTAAAACTGAATTTTGCAGACGCTATATCATTATTTGGTGCTTTTCAAACTAAACACCAGGCAAAAATTCACACTTTTTAGGGGTAACCCAAGTCCAGTCTCTTATCACACCCATGTAACGTTTTGATTCCTAACAGCAAAAAATATAAAAACAATGAATTGAGTTGTGGGTGCACCATGTTCAAAATGAGTCTCTTAATATCATGTGTAATATTTATTAAACAGATGGCCTGGTATGCATCTTAAAGTGACCCTGTCCCGATCTAAAGTCTGTAATAGAGCAGTTACCTGTGAAGAGATTGAATACTTACCGCTTCCTTTTCCTGCTTCCCTCACCGTCGTAGAAATGGTTCCCCAAAGTTTGCTGGGAAACCAACACTTCTGGGAATGTTGATCTCCTGGGGGGTTTTTTCTACTACAGTGAAGAAAGGTCAGAATGTCTTTTTGTGCTGTGTCTACTCCCATGAAATAGACTTCCCCTCACTTCCTCTGTCGGACTGAACAGACCATCTTCTTTATGAGGACATAGATGGCACTTAAATCTGACAGCTGGACTGCTAAATGTGGACACAGACCACACTGAAAGAGACGCTGTCACCTTGCCCATTCAAAGCAAATTACAGTTTTCTTATAAATGGCCCCCCTAGCAAACCCTGACACTCACCCTGCCAGTGCCCAGCAACCTTACCCCCCACTGCTTCTGCCTCCATCACAGCTGCACAATGCTTGGTCAACCAATTGGCTGATAGACTCAAGAACTGTCCCACAGGAGGAGGTCACACTTTCCCCCATGCCTAGAAACAGAAGCAGTAGTGGAAGGGGAGTGCTGGTAAGGTTGGTATCAGCGGGTTTAGGGGGGCCCTTTACAAAGACTTTGCCCTGAATAGGTAAAATGACAGTGTCTCTTAAAAACCCTTCCCTATCATCTATCAGTTTAGCAGTTTCATTTCAAAGTTGTATTGTATTCTTACAGCTCTTAACCCTTTCGCTGCCAAGCCCTCCGGAACATTTTTCAAATCAGCTGGCCAAGCCATTTTTGAATTTTCAAAAAAATGCACGCTGTGTTGCTGTTTGTGTTGCGATAAAATGATACAGGTGTATATTTATTGCAACACAAAGATCACAACGCATGGAAATATTTATTACTGTCTACATCCAGAGACAAATGTTGGAAGTGTCATCATCTGAATTTTTGCTCTAGGTGTGCAGAAATACTCTTGCATCATGGAGCCCTTATAAATGAGAGCACAGACTCAACACAAGATACCTCATTGCACATTGCAGCAAGACTTGGGCTTCTGAGTCACGTTGATCTGTATCTACGCCATGGAGCACTTATCAATTCTAAGAATGCCGAGGGTGAAACTCCCTTGATTGCAGCGTGCACAGGTAAATGTGATGACGAGGAAAGCCGCCTTCAGACCTGCCAACTCCTAATAAAGAAAGGTGCAGACCCAGAGGCTCAAGACCAGCAAGAAAGAAGGCCGTTACACCATGCATGCCGAAAGGCTGAAAGCCGCCTGGTAGAGTTACTGCTAGCTTCCGGTGTGGATGTCAATGCTGCAGATTATAATGGTGTCCAACCACTTAGTTGTGTCCTGCAGAGTGCTGAGATCTACAGAAATAAGAAGCCTCATCTTACTGTATGTGTCCTGCTCAATCACGGTGCCCGATGTGTCTGTCCAGAAGCTTTCGGAAAGGTAATCAAACATTTATTTGCGTAGACTATGGGGCCTTATTATCAAAGGTTCCATAAATAATTAAATTTAATTCATACGTTTTCTCTCTGTGCTATCTTTCAGAACAGGCCTGACAACTGTTTTTTCCAAATTTATAAAATCCAAAAGAGCATTGGTGTAAAATGGTAAACTGTTTTTTAAAAGTATCATTCTTGTCTGAAAAAAAATGTGCCCAGAAAATGGAGGAAGGAAAAGTGGTGTATTTTCAATAAAGTTGTGTATAGGGATGTCCCAATACCATTTTTTCAAGACCAAGTACAAGTACAGGAACAAGTACTTTCCCTTCAGGTACTTGCTGATACCGATTACTTTTTCTTAAAGGGACATGTGACATTTTTTCTAAAACAATACAGAATAATAATTTTAGAGCAATTTCTTTATAATAATGAAGAACTGCAACTCAAACCATGATTATTCAGCAATGCAGAATGGCAACTAGCAATAGAGGACTATTGATCCCATCAATCCATGACTATACAGCGGTCTTACCAGGGCTGTGTTTGGGTCTCACCAGGGCTGCGTGCCTTAACACACTGCAGAATCTGGCCTACGCAGCATTGGTCCAGGCAAAGATGGGCATTGATTGTCTCTGACTTACGTTTGCTATATTTTTGTTTTTGGTTATTGACTCTTTAAGCCAGCCAGCCAGTCAGCCAGCATTTTCAGGATCTAGCAATGGCAGCCCCCATATTTCCTGTTTATATGGTATGCAGTAGTTTCACACTCAAGACATCAATTCCATGGTCCATACACTGTCCTATATAGCACCAAGGCAGATATTTTGGCTTGGAACCAAATGTAAATGCACTATAAATGGAGAAAATTGTTTATATGGTTTAAATGGCCACATAAGTTTATATGGCCACAAGATCCATCAGTTTCCTAATATCACTATAACTAAAATATTTAGTTTTACTCATGTATACTGTATATCACAAATACATTTCACTGTGTTTTTCGGGAAACACTGAACCATCACTAAAAGAACTCCAGTCTAATCTCCCAACCATATACTTACACTGAGTGGCCAGATTATTATGACCACCCCATCAGTACTTCGTTGGGCCACGAGATGTCTCCACGAGCTGACTTTGTTGGGCCGCTTCGTGACTCCACGAGATGTTGAAAGGTCTTGTACCAGTCTTGCCACTCTCCGTTCTGCCCTAACATTGACTAGTCGCTGACGGCCACAATTTGCACGTTCAGACCCAGATTTCCGGCTGACAGTCCAGTCTTTAAACACTTTAACAACAGCTGCTCTTGAACATTTAACGAATTCTGCTGTTTTGCTGATACTCGCTCCATGGCTCCGAGCGCCAACACTCATCCCACGTTCAAAGGCTGTTAAATCGCGTTGTTTGCCCAAATCTTCAGAAAAAATCACTTCTACTGTCGTGGTAAACAACCTGCTTCCCTATTTATAATGGTCTGGCCCTCTAGCAACTTCAGCACAAAATTATAGCTGATTATAGCTAATTTGCCTACAAACGTCAGGTGGTCATAATAAACTGGCCACTCAGTGTATACATACTCAGTTCAGTGTATGCACTCTATGGATAACTTACCTTGCTGGACCTTTTTTCTGGGAGATTCCATTTGTATGCCAAACATACCAATGACATAATATTGATCTGTGTTGGGCAGGTGCTGTGGTGCTGTTCTGGACTCCCTGATGTCATTACTCTGCTCTACAACTCATACTTAAGCCTTCAAATCTGCAGCAAATGGAGAAAGGAAATTCCAGATGATGTCTTCCAGGTGAGGCTATCTGTCTCTGGTGTGTAAATCATCGCATTCCCCAGCCCCCTACCCCTTACCTGAATTGTAGGGTCCTTCTCCGCGGAGGCTTCCGTATACATTTGAATTTAGCATGGCTGTGCAATGCTCCACCTGCACATCATTGGCATGCATTCACAGATCCATTCACATGATCTTTAATGAAAAGACTACAAGAGGGACTCCTAATTCTCAATGGAGCACAAACATGGTGACATCATCACACTTAGTTTATTTTCTTACAGGTACTTATAGGGCTCTGACAATTTACACAGCGCCCTCAAGGAGCATACAATCTAAAGCTGGCCATACACCTTACAATTTATCTGCAGATTTGATGTGGTCAGATGGAAAAGGTGCAACAGATTCCTCCATCTACACTTAACTGTGTGGATGGAGTAATCTCCACCTGGGCCAATCTGTTGCACTTTTTCCATCTGACCACAGAAAATCTGCAGATAAATTGTAAGGTGTATGGGCACCTTAAGGTCCCTATCTCACATACACACAGGACCAATTTAGACAGGTGCCAGTTAACCTACCAGCATGTCTTTGGAGTGTGGGAGAATAGAGAATCCAGACAAAACCTATACAAGCACAGGGAGAATATGCAAACACCTTGCAGATAGTGTCCTGAATGAGATTCAAACCAAGGACCCCAGCAGTGGCGTAACAACCGGGGGGGCAGGGGGGGCACTTGCCCCGGGCGCAGGACTGAGGGGGGGCGCCTTCACAACCCCAGTGCTGGAAGTTAGAAGTACTAACCACTATGCCACTATTGTACCCACATTGATTACTTCCCCAAGCCCCAGAATGGAAAGGTCTGCACCTCGGATCATACCTAGGGCTAGGGTGATGGTCTGCAGGAGCCTGTGCATTGCATTCAAGGTCCCCTGATCGTGGTTGCAATTCTTTACAGGCTTCAATTAAAAAAACTTCATTCATGCACATTTTTTTTATCAATATGAGAGCATTTATTCATGAATTCATTTATTTTTGGAAAACAGGCACTTTGCTTTTAATCCCACACTAGAGACGGGTAAAAGTGTTATTTTGAATCTTTTGTCACTCTTTCTCATGGATGAAATGGCCATATGTTTTCCTGATGCTTGTTACCATACATGAGACCCGATACAATACACCTGCCTTGTCGGATCATTACAGTTTACCAGCTGTCTCTCTTTCTCTAGACCCACCACGCCTTCTACGCAGCATTCTTCAGTCTGTCTGGAACTGTCCGCTCCCTGCAGCACTTGTGTCGATTTACTCTGCGAAAACATTTTGGCAGTCAGTGTTACCTTTTCATTCCTTTACTACCAGTCCCAACAGTCATAAAAGACTATCTGCTGCTCATCACCGAACAGAGTCGCTGCCTGCTCTAAATTACCATACATTTCTAGTTTTTTACTTTGTTTTAAAGATCATCTTTTTCCAGCTTTTAATAATTTTTACAGCAATTTTTACATGTTATATGGGGGGGAATAAAAGCAGTCATTCAAATGTGTATAATATGTAACCTCTGCCACTAATAATTTACGAAGCACAAGCTCTGCTTCTCTGTATTTGATGTAATTAGAATAAGATTGTGAACAATGTATTGTAACTTGCTGTCAGATTGTAAGAATTAGAGCTATTGGTTTTGTCAGCCACCAAAATCCCTTTTCTTTGCCAAGTCTACGCGTGATGATCCTCTGATTATTATTATGATTCTACCACAAGCACAGGAAAGGCTGTCAGCTGGCCAGCTTTGGCTCCTGCACATGGACCACAATTCAAATATGTGGCAAGAAATGCCCAGAAAAAGGTTTCCTAAACATGGAATTAAATCACACAAACCAGACCAAGTCATACAATTGATCTTTCCAGTAAACATATGGGAGTATCAGAGAACAGTTACTATGGCTTGTTATAAAGGAGAAATTGTACATTGGAATACATTGAAATTTTAAAATGTCACTTTATGCAAGTTAACCAAAATTAAAGTGATATTAAAGTCAAAATGTTTTTAAGGTATTTCAAATGCTGATAAAATCACTTACAATGGATGCTGCTCCTTGATGTTTAAAAGTTTTAGTTTCCTGCAGAATCAGCTGATCCCCTGAGCACTGACCCCGATATCCTGTTTTAGGGTGGATCCTTTCCCTTGCGGGGTCCTATGGAGCCCCCTTGTGTGTGCTAGTAAGCTGTGTGTGTCTCCACAAACACATAGGCACAGCAGGGAAAGCCTCTTTCCTCCCCGCTCTCCTCCTTCATTCCTCTCCAAGCTAGAAGGTGGCCAGCTGCTGGAGACTGTACTGTCCCTTGTGATCTTGTACTGGACAGGAAGTTTAAGGCGTCTTCCAGACTCCCAGGCTCTTTAGTAGGAAATCTTGCTTGTAGTCAAGCTTGGGCTCGTCCCCTGTGTCCTCACTATTATTCCACTGCAGTAATAAGCAACCTTTCTATTATTATTATTATTATTATTATTATACAGGATTTATATGGCTTTCTAACCAATAGACTTTGAATTCATATTATAAAGCAGTGCTCCCCAACCTTTTTATCGCCG